AAGATTATGATAATAATGATGGTGGGGGTGGTGGGGGGGGTGGTGATGATGTTGGAGGAAAAGGGGAAGAATTGGAGTTGATAAAGGGAAAAAAGAGACCTTGAAATCTTCACCCTCCCGAATCCACAGGGCTTACAGTATGAACAAAGTTTCATCCCCTAAGAAAGAAACCACATTGATGTCTGCTTGATTTTTTTTTTTTACCAAGAGAACATAGAAGAAATATAGGATTGCACTTTAACAGAACTTTGTCTTAAGTTGCTAGAGATACAGTTTATGGTAATATTAAGCAATTGCTAAAAAGCTAAGGGGAACATACTATCACTGCAGAAAGTGTAAAAATCATGAAATAAAGGATTTCTTTTAATATCATGAAACAAAGGTAGATTTTTAAATAAATACAACTCTTGATGAAATCCAAAATGCAGCTATCAGAGGATTTTACTGGAGTGCTTTCCATAAATAATGAAAGAAATATCTTTTTTGTTTTAAAAAAATGTTTATGCAGGTAATATTTTAAAATACTGATCAGCCTTCATTCCCTTGATTTGTAATTCCACACTCTTTCATGTTTCTGCAAGGTGAACTCTAGAGGAAGTGAGGTGAATATAAACCATGGACAATTTGGCATGCATCTATAAAAAAACCCTACCTTGGCATGAATGCTATTCATTTTGGCAGTAGGCTTTTATACCTTTTAAAAACAGATTACCTTGTATGTCTTTTCTTTGTGTCTTTTCATTTTAATCTCAAATTTTAAAAAGAAGTAAAACCACTTTCTGAATAGAGCTGTAGGGGATACCAATTCTGGTTTTGAATAGTCTGGGAATTGCAAATTTGAATAGAAAAGCACAATTAATGAAGTGTTAGGTGAATTTGATTTCATTTTGCTTTTTAAGTTTGTACTGTCAGCAGGACATGACTTGATTGTAGCGCTAAAGTGGCCATTTAAAACAAATTGCCTTGAAGAGAGAAGCATTGGGAATGGAGATCCCTTCAAGGTACTTGGTTTTAAATGAGTGCTCTGACAGCCGTGCCCTTGACCTTGCACTGTTTAAAAGCCTTCCATGTTTGCGCTGCGCTGGATTAATACAAGAATAAAATGAAAACACAAAACACGGTATCATTTTTTTTTAGAGATACTGTGCTGCAACTGTTAATACTCTGCTTGTACATACTGACCCCAGGCAGTGGCTAGGATGGCATCTGCAAACTAACGCCCCAAAGCAAAAGCTCTCCGAGTGCAAATAGACAGGAAGGGTAATTTCTGTCCTCCTTTCAGCTGAGAAGCTCTTTCAAACAAGCCTTTGGGAAGAAAAAGTCCGCCAAGCCTCCTTCCTCACATTCTGACATTGAAGAGCTTACTGATTCGTCCCTTCCAGCATCCCCCAAGTTGCCTCATAGTGCTGGGGACTGTTCAGCCTCCATGAAGCCCTCGCAGTCTGCCTCAGCGTAAGTTACTCCCTTTGAAGAATGCAGAAAAGTTTTTGGAGAATAACTGCAGGCCAAGCCCACGTTTATGTTCTAAATGTAATTGGATTGCACTTTCACAACTGCAGCACCAAATCCGTACCAATTATTTTCACATCTTTCTGAGAATAATGGACAGCATTGGTTTCTGTGTCATTTTTCATATGTTGGAAACTGAGTGTTCCTTGATCTCATTCTCCACTTCTCTAAATCATTATTCTCACGTCTTTTCACTTGCATTTCTCCATGTATCTGTCTAACTGTGCGGACATGCAGGTCACCCCTTGTCTGGCCACCAAAGAAACGGCAAAATGGCCCTGTGATCTACAAGCATAGATCCCGGTAAAATGGAGTGTGATGCATGAAAACTGCAAAGATCCAGGTTTTAACCTAAGTCGTGTTTGCTTTTGCTTCCTCTAAAATCACTCACACGCGTTTTGAAGATAAATGTCTCTTCTTTCATTCTGTTTTCAACTAAAATTTGGTTTCCTAAAACGAACCTGCAACTCACTTTTTATTCTATTAATCTAACATAGCATTTTTACAGTAGCCCACTTTTTGATAGTACAGCAGTCCCCCCTCATCCGTGCGGGATCCTTTCCAAGACCCCCAGTGGATACCTGAAACTGCAAATACTGCCGAGCCCCACATACACTGTTTTTTTCTATACATACATAGCTGTGATAAAGTTAAATTTATAAATTAGGCACAGCAAGCGATTAACAACAATAACTAATGATAAAATAGAACAATTATAACAATATTCTGTGATAAAGTTATGTGAATGTGGTCTCCTTCAAAATACTGTATTATTTTCAGACCATGGTTTACTGCAGGTAGCTGAAGCCACAGAAATTAAAACTGTGGATAAGGGGGGACTACTGTACAAGAAAGAACACATTTGGAATGCAGAAACGTTCTGATGAGATGATTCTGTTTGTTTTATATCTATTTAAATCAGTTTTCCTTGTATGCCCACAATAACGACTAGCATTGAACTCTCGTGTAGAACAGATCCACTATGCTTTGGCTACATCATTTCATCACTTACGTAGGAAGGAAGAATATAACCGCTTTTATTTTGTGCCCACAACCTAGTCCTCAAATTTTAAATGGAAAAATATTAGTTAATATACAACATATTCTTTTGATGGATTTCCTACAAAGTTGTCCACAAAACAACAAAACAACACAATAAGGATATAAGGTGTATGACCTTCCAACGGCCCCCAGCTAGCCTGCTAGTATGGGTTGAAACCTGTGATTTAGCTTCATTAGCTGTGATCTCCTAAATCAGCTGAGCCTAACAGGAACATTATATAACACTCACCCATTATTTAAATGTCCAAAACTAATCTAATTTATTTTCTACAATATTTATATTGGATTTTCATGATAACTTGAAGACAGTGTTGTGGCAAATAAGGTTATTTTTTGCACAGTTTTTCAAAAGAAGCAATCAACATTTTAAGGATGTAGTAATTTTGCTTTTTAAAAAAGAATATTCACACGTTGCAAATAGAGATTTAAATCCCTTGAAAAACGTTGGAATGAAATGTAGTAATACTAGGATTTTCATGCCCTATGAATATCAACAACAAGGAAATTTTTAGGATTAGTTTATATTCAGGAACAGTAGACTGTTTTTAAATTTCAGAAAATGGGAAGAAAAGATTAAAAGAAACAGCTATTTTCAATTTTGAACCTATGAATGCATTACTATTTGTAAAATTTGTTCTCCCTTTCTCCAGGTTTTGCCAGCAGGAAATAATTTCTGTACTTGCTGGATAATATTGCAGTTCAGCTTTTAAAAGTGGCATTGCTTTTCCTAATCCCCTGGCTTCTCCAGACCACTGATTTTGTGTTTGTTTCCTTCTTCAGGATCTGTGAATGCACAGAGGCTGAGGCAGAGATAATTCTGCAGCTGAAGAGCGAGCTCAGAGAAAAGGAATTAAAATTAACAGACATTCGGCTGGAGGCCCTCAGCTCTGCTCATCATCTTGATCAGATCCGGGAAGCCATGAACCGGATGCAGGTCGGTGCTGAAGCACTTTGAAAGAACAAAATGGAGAAATAAAAATGCCACTTATTCTCTTCTCTTGGTTATTATAGAACAAATTCTGCTTTTAAACGCATGTGGAAATGTACTGTGTTTATTCAATCTCTGCAACTCATTTCTTAATGGAGAATTTTGTCAAACCCAGGTTTGGAGATGGGAGTGCAAACTGGCCACTTGTACTCAAGAAACATTTAAGATACTTACCCTAGGGATCGGATTCAGGTTGAGAGTGAAGTTCTTAGAAAAACAACTACAATTCTTGCTTCTTCACTTTTCCATGATTTACTTTTATGTTGGCTTTTTGCCTGTTCTTTTGATCTGACTGTCAAATCTGACTTTTCACCTGTTTTCTATTGAAAAACAAAAATAATGAGGAAACCACAAAAATTCAACATAAGCTTTCTGAATATTGAAGTAAAGTGATTTAGAATGCCATATGTAAAAGTAAAGCTTTTGTGTTTTTTGGAAACATCTAAAGGCTAAATTCAGAACCAGACTAAATTTTCATGTTATTATTGTAAACCGGTAATCACTTGGTACCACAGATGACTGAGATAAGAAAAGCTCATTACTGAGCAGATTCATCTGCCACTGTGTATATCCATCACATGGCTTTTGTTTTTATGAGCCTAGTGCCGCATTTTGAAGGAACAAAAACTTTTTCAGATGTCAGCCAGAATTCAAGTAATTTCAAATCACCTTATTTATGTTATTTTTGTTTTGCTCTGTTTTTCAACT